TTTTTTTTTTTTTTTCATCTTGCAGGAGATCATTAAATATGGCCATTCATTCCAAGCTGGCTGGTTACACTCTGATGAGAGGTATCAAACACTGAAGGTCAGTAGATAGTTAACAAAGTTTCTACTTCCTCTTTCTCCTGTGGTTGTGGTTCTGGTGTTAAAAAAAAGATCCACATTTCCTGTGAATAATCTCTCACAATCTTTAAATACCAATCTCTTATGTGAAGTGGCTTTCATTTCGTACGTGTCTCCTTGATTACTCCCATACCTTGCTTCCTGCCAGCTGTTCACAAGTGTTTTCGGGGTTGGACCTAAGACGGCTGAGAAGTGGTACCGCAGTGGGCTGCGCTCACTCAACGACATCCTCACGGAGCCGAGCATTCAGCTAAACCGGATGCAGCAAACTGGTACACACCTCCTCTGTTTAAGTGCTCCACTTTTTTTGTTTGTTTCCAAAGAGCAGAATCTCAAACGTCATCTCCAGACGACCTGGATGTCTCCAACTGTAGCTTTTTTCCGTCTACAAGATGTTTTTGATTTAAGGCTTTACTTTTCTTTTCAGACATGAAACTCTAACTGTGATATAATTTGATTTTTTTTCAATAATGTTTGTAAATATCTTTGTCTTGATTGTGTTATTTCATTATAATATTGATCTTACAGAAATTCACTTCATTTGTTATTTTAGAGACATCTTTTGACAGGCAGTGTTTTCTAGCCTGTTGAGCTGTGGCTCATATTTTACATTAGAAAAATCCCACGGTGCTGCACCAAACAAAAATGTCACACGAAGTATGTGTCATTAAATATAATGATTTTCTAGTTTCTTTTTACTCACTCGATGTGAACCCTGAGCCTGTTTAGTTGAAATTTTTGCGCCAATTTTGATATGAATTGAAAACCGACGCTATAGGAGTTTTTATAGCTTTCTGCTGCCACTTAGTGGAGGAGTATTTAATTGTGCTGCCTGTTGCAATCGCACCGACAAACGCAGCAGCAGATAAAATATCATTTTCAGACCAGTTAAGTGAAAGTGGATCTGATGGCCTCCCACAGCACACTGGTTGTCAGTGACTAGTTTTAAGCACATGAACAATAATTTGGGTCTGTCCCTGTTATCTAGTGATGCAACGTCTTTACACACAGTTCACACAACTAGCATGACAGGAGTATTCTAACAAGACGGAACAGTTGACAATGAGTTTGTGGTTCCAAGGGAAGCACCAATACCCAGCTGCTTCTGGTCACTATTACTTCCTTCTTCCCCCTCTCCTGAGCTCATATACTGTTACAACACTGCAAAGAGGAGTCATTTATAACCCTGCTCACAGGTCTCCCTTCAGTTACGAGCTCTGCAGATAATGTATTGTGCTGACAGACATCTTCGTCAAACCGGCCGTCATCCATCATTCGAACAAGTGCAGTTTCCATTACAGACAAAAAAAAATTGATTTTTTTTGGCATGAAAAATAGATTTTCCCTCTGTATTCTGTGAACTGATTTGCAAAACGCATATCATTTTTCATCTTTGGCTGCAGAACTGGCAAATACCATGGTGGTGTAATTTTGTATTTGTCCTGAAGGAGTAAACTGTAAACTGACGCTTTTATGTTGAATTTTAAAACGAGACACTGAGGTGCAGAAAATCAACTAAAATAGCCATTGGTCTGATCTTTACGTTGTCTGCAGTGGCTCCTATATGGCTGCTCGTCACACATTTAATTCACCACGAAGTTCCACTTCCCCAGAACTGACAGCTATGATTGATGGTTGACTGCCAGACAAATAACCATGTGGTCTTTTCCCTGCAGGTTTTCTGCATTATGAAGACATCTCCAGGGCTGTCAGTAAAGCCGAGGCCCAAGCTCTGGAGAACATTATTGACAAAGCTGTCCATGAGATCACCACCGACGCCATACTGACCCTGACAGGTGGCTTTCGAAGGTACGAGACTTGTCTCCTCTGCTTTGTGTTGATGTGGTAGTTGAAAAGGACAGTTTTTCCACTGCTTCTAAACTTGTGTTTGTAGTGTGTGTGTGTGTGTGTGTGTGTGTGTGTACCTGGCTGCTGTTACATTTAACAGATAAATGGTATTAATTTGACATTTAACCGTGCCTGGTGTCATCCCATCCCTGTTATCGATCATAAAAGATGAAACCTTGAGGGCACGGGTCGTTCACGCTTTGCACTGAGATGCGTTATATTGTGGGTCTCAAAGTGCACAGTGAGTGCTCTCATAAAGCAGCTTACTAAGTGTGACTGGTTGTTCACAGCTGGTGCCTCCTTCCATTACCGCCTCTCTGTGCTGGCCTTTTTTTATAATGTCTCTTACTTTGAGCCTGTGTTAGTATGAGGCACTCTGCTGTGTGGTGTTGTAAAAATCCAGCCACGACCAGTGGCACGTGCAGTAAATAATTCAAAGAGCAGTCTGGCAGAGGAGGACAGACGCTCGCCGCTCAGCAGGGATAACAGAACTTCAACACAGATCAGGGTGTTTTTACTGTCTGTGTGAACAACCAACTTTTTAAAATTTTTTCATACTCCAAAGCACATCCACATTCCTTTGGCTTGATACAAAATCATTATGATTGTAAAAGCAACATTAGAGGAAAACTTTGAATGAATAATTATTTAATTATTTACCACTGTACACTAGGGGGGAAATGAATCTTTCATCACGATAAATGGGCTTTTTTTTTGTCCTAGAAAAAAAAATATGAGTAATTTATTCACTTTTTATTTTTATTTTTTGGCTCATGTGTAGCATTGGTATTTGGGCTAACTCATCTATGTCTACTACATCTGTCCAGGGAGCTGGATGTCGGAAGTCAACGTAAGGCAATTGAGCTAACCACTCACTCACCGTATTGCCTTGTATTTAATCTGTTTATCCTTAATATTTGACATAATAACAGCCGTTTCTAAACTTAGTGTTAAAGTATTAGTCTCTGTCCAAACAGGTAAGAGAGTGAAAAAAAAATGGCCACAAATACATAAACTAGGAATAAGTGTGAGCGATGAGACCTGGCCTGCAGGCTTTCCCATAAGAATAAGGCAGGATCATAGACCATTAATAAGACACGGCTATAGCTTTTGTAGGTTGTAGCTGCAAGGTGAGGCTTTGAAAGGACACTAGAAATGTCTGTTTGTAGAAGGTTTATAGAAAAGGAAACAACTTTTCCCGTAGTTCTTAGCTTCAGCCTTCAATGGAAGAAGACCTTGATCCTCTGGACGATAATACAGAGAGGAAAATTGACACCAAAGTTTTCAATTAAGAGAGCACTGAACTAATTTTCTCTCCATAAATTATTATTATTAAAATGACACTTTCTCAAACCAGTTCTGCACTTCCTGATAGTTCCTGTACTTTCACATGTTTCTACTTAGATTCCAATGCAGTCTATTTGATATAATGACCAAAGAGCCTGTGCTTAAGATAAATGAAAAAAAAAGAGTTTGTCTCATGCAGGGGTCTGCAATCTGTGGCCTGTGAGCATCAAAAAGCTCCTCGGAAACATTAGATTTGCTTCTTGTTGGATGATATTCAATATTTGTCAATGGATAAAAAATCATTTATAACTGGTACATCCAGTCAGTTAGAATACATTGACTTCTCTGTGATTGTCAGATGGTGTTTTTTTTTATTTGTTCTTCTTTTTGGTTATTAAAAAAGATATAATTATGCTATATGCCTGCAGTATAAACAGCATTATACACTTGAAATATTTGCGTGTTTAACCAAGCTCTTTAAACCCAGTTCCATTCACTTTTATAATAGTTATTCAGTAAATGTCATTAATGCAGTGGTATTGGTGGTAAAGGTTGGTGTAAATAGGGCAGTGTGTGAGGTCTAAAGGTGTGTTGTAAGGTTACTTCCATGGCTGACACTAACTTGAACCAGCAGTGTAGGATCTAATGACTTAATGACCAAAATCTTTCTCTTTGACTACAATAAAAGAGACCATTAACCTAATGCGATGAGAGTGGGCTTGATTGATGATCGACTATCCCCAGCTCTGTGTCTTTGGTCCAACACAATAAAACTATGGCTGATTTAAAATGGAAAATATGCTTCTGTTGGGTTTAATTATTACTGGGAGAAAGAATAAAAAAAAAAACATTGGCATTGAAAAATAAACTAAATATTAAATACTTAAAGATTAGGTTTTATAGAAATTATATATACAGTATTATATATTATAAAGACAAGTTATATAACAGCAGCCAACTGTGTTGTGTTGGTCATATTGATAAACTCCTGATGTCAGCTTATGTGTCAAATTCAGGACACATAATAAACATATTTAAAGACACTGACAAAAGATTTTATTTTTTTGTATTTTTTGGTGTACTTGGCTCTAACTCAGAGACTTTTGGACTTTTGCATCTTTGATCATGTGATTCTATCACCTCTGTGTCATGTGGCACTTGTTCTGTGTATTACCCTGAAGGAGAATATTTCCATTAATTTCTTTTAAAATTTATGAGCCATTTGATGTGGACGGCGTTTCAACGTTTTACATGATAAATGATTTAAAACTTACAACTCTATGATTTAATAACTTAAATGTCAGAATATTAAATAGACATGTAACAACTAGACTGTATTTTGTCAGAATTCTTGAGGATCAAGTAATAGGCAAAAGCTCCCTTAGACAGAAACAAATGGAGACAAACCAAAGTTAGCCTATCCTTTAATAACATGAAATAAGGTATAAAACGTAAAAAAATGCTGACAAATCTGCTCTAAAGAGTCAGGATACAGGAGCCGTGGTATGCAGTGGATGGCAGGTGGGTGTGGCAGAATGCAGGGAGAGGTGAGGGGGCTTCAGTGACGAAAGTCAGTGAAAGAAAATGAAAAAAAAGGAGAAATCAGGCAGATTGTCAGAAGTTTATCAAGATTAACGTCTGAAAAAAGTGACTTTACATGATCAACGTCAGAGTTTTTATTTGAACTGTCCCTCCTTCATCTGTCCATTGAGGGATGATTATATACGGCACTGGAAAAATGCCATGAAACTATAAATGACAACCAGAGCTGCACATTTGATTAGGTAAATAACTGCTCCTCCAGAGGAATAAGTGGTGAAAGTGACTGGAAAAGAGATTAGCGCCTTAAAGGATAGTTAAAATCAAGAATGACGGGGAGGAGCAGCGCAGGATTTACAGGCCGTGAGTCTGCTGCACACTGTAAAGGGCCTGAGAGACAGCTTTTATGGCGGACGCCAGGCGATGAAGCAGCCATTTATTTTATCTCATATTTGATGCAGGCGTAGGGAATATTGTGTGAGACCTAAATGGATTCACGCAGGGCTATAATTGAAGAACGATGACTTGTACGATGTCAGTCAGCAAGCAAGTAATTTACCTTTATCTGCCTGGAAAGCCGTTTCTCCAGACGTGCCTCGAACACAGCGGTGGTGGAGGATGGGGAGTGTGGGTGGGTGTAAGTGGGGGGGGAGAGGAGGCCTATTACACAAAAATAGTGCATATGCTCTGATAGCCAGCAGCAGCACTAATGACCCACTCATTTTCTTCACTGTGACAGATCTGAAAATGTTCACTTCTAAACTCCTGTCAAATCCCAAATTAATTACCTATAATTTAACGAATGACGTGCAGCATCTTATTAAGTAGCTTCATCTTTGGGAATGGAAATACATACCATATATATATTTATACATCCATCCATCCATCCATTTTCATCGGCTTATCCGTTACCGGGTCACGGGGGCAGCAGTCCACTGGAAGGTATATTTATGCATATATTTATATATGTATAAATATATATAAATATAAATGTATATATATCCATGTAGTATATGTATTTATATTTACAGTATATGTACATACATACTGTATATAAACACACACATGTTTATATATGTGAGTATATAAATATATATGTCTTTAAACAGATAACCTCTGCTCTGTCTTATCTTTTATCCCCAACAATAGAACTCTCCCCCCACAGTTTAATAAATAAACACCAATCTGGCGTTCTCCAGTAAACTCCAGCTGTCACCCACTTCAGAGGCAACAACGTGGCAGGGATTTGTTGATGCTGCTGACATTATCCATATTGAAAGGACAGCTGTGGTAGGCGGGTGACAATCCTTGAAGCTGTTTTCTTTGGGATGGTGGCGGATTAAAAATAGATTAGGCTTCAAAATGCAATGTCTCTCACCAGCCGCTGTCGGTGGAGCGCCGTATTCACTCCAGTACGAAGCCACTCGTGTGTATTTCATTTAACATCAGATTGAGTGGAGTACAACTGGGAGTGACGCTGATGAAGGGCCCGCTGGTGTCAGCCATCAACTCCTCCAAAGTGGGGTTAAGTCTAAGAGCGCTGTTTTCACCCTGAACGGCAGCGTGGAAAACTAATCTGTCAGTTTGGCTCCGATTGTTACTGAGAAAAACAAACTCCAATAACTAATTTACATGGAGAACAACCTGCATCTCATTCCAACAGGGAATTCAGGCTCAGAGCACGCTCCTGTTTCTTTTGAGGTGAACTTCCACCCTTTGAGACTAATTATTATTCTTATGGAAAGGAATTATTTCCCACTTTTTGCATTATTAAAGTGTAGAGCTACTTAAAATTAACTTTTATCCGATCAACTTCAATGTACACCTGAAGATGTCCTCCTGACAATTTAGGTGTTTTTTTTTTTGTTTTTTTTTTTTACACATTTAAGAGCTTTTTGTTTCTTGTTTATTTGCGTTCTCTGTGCCGTTCTTCTTCCTGTTATTACTTTGACTTCCTGTTCCTTTTCACGCTATTACGTGCAAATAATGACAGGCCTAAAATATCTGCTGTATTTTGAGTCATTGTCCTCTCTGTTAAGATTTTGGTTAATCTATAAAAACACCAATCTGACCCCAGTTCAGCTGCTCCTGTTGTTGATGACACCCTTTTCAGTCTTTCCAGTTCATCCTCTCTGTTCTGAGTGTGGTGCAGACAGATTCTCTTTGTTGTGTGCTGCAGGTATTTTTAATTGCTGCTGACGTTCTGGTTATTCTCGTGCAGATGTGAGGTGAAATGCATTTCCTGTTTGGTTTGAATAGCCTCTTTAAGCTGTTGTTGCAGTTGTTGTTGTTGAGTAAGTACAGTGGAAATGTTGAACGCGCGGCTTCAGACAAGCCCCCTTTTTTCTTCCCGCCTCACTCTGTGTCCTTTTAAGTGCTTTAAAAACGTGTCATATTTAGCAAAGAAAGGTATTTTGTGAAATTTCCACTTGAGGCAACACTTCCCACATCTGTATTATTCATACATGTCGCACAAATGTGTAAATAGCCATGTATATTTAATAGGCTTTGTGCAGAGGCATTTAATAATTCAACATTTTCCCCCTCACACATTAAAAGTGTAGCGTAACCAAATTCACAGCCGGTGTTAATAAATAGGAAAGTAGGAAAAAAAGAAACAAAACACTGAAACTATTAATACTGTATGTGCACATTCTATTAAATCTTATTTTCACCTGAGTCTTCTGGGCCCCATCGCCCGCTGACAGGTTTGCGAGGTGGCAAACGCTAAATAAAAGCAGCGTTGTGAAGGTGAAGTATTGGAGGCAGGAATGAAGAAAAAACACTATCTTTGACTGGAGAATGTGCCTGACACCGTGTCGTCTCATTTTCGCTGAAAGGTGTTAAATTATGCTCTGGCTTGATGCAGACAGAAAAAGCTCCGAACGAAGTGTAATACCGCACCGTCTTCTCCTCCAATCACCACCGATTCCCATGGTAATCTACATTTTGATGAAATTGGAACGGTTTTAATGCCAATTAGAGACGCCCAGAATTCACACAGATCGTCTTTGTTATTCAAACCTGTGCTTTGTTCCAGTTTTGCCATCGCAGCAGGGGCTGAACGACTTGAGTGCACCGGAATCTCAGTTTTTTCAGTCAGGAGCGTTGGTTCGTCCAGCACGTGGAAGTCTGTGATGTATTTGCCACTAAATTATGTCCTACCAGAGGTGCAACCTCTTCACACTGAAGGTGATACCCTATAAATATACTCTACAAACACCTTTATTAACACAAGTGAAAGAGATGCACATTTTTGATCATTTTAGAAGGAAGGTACATTTTAAACCGTCAACGTGCAAATTAAACGGCTGTGGGGGAGGAACGATCTGCCGAGGGAACCTGTTAGTCTTCCATATGTCATGTCACCGTCATGAGCCATTAACGGACTCTTATTAAGACGTCTCTATTTTCAAACTTTCCTGCTTCCTGTGACCTTTGAAACTTTCCCATCAGCCATTAGCACAGCCCTCCGTCTCTTTAATGTTAGCTTCTCACAACGATCACTTATTGTTCGAGAAAACAAACAGAGATCGGAAACTAAGGAACTCAAAGGTGTCAAGGCTTTGGTTCGAGTTTACATTTGTTGTTGTAAAAAAATAAAAAGTTTTGATTTGGTGTTGGACCTTTTCACAAGTCTCATAGCAGAAACCAAGGCAGGACACCAACTGCTGGTTGGTTTACTTCGCAGGCAGGAGATTTCTAGTTTAGAGCTCGATGGATGTGAAGATGGTGGGAGGAATGAAATATAAAGTTACACAGGCTCTATTTGACTTGGAAAAGTACACGTTTGTTAAACCTGTTATTTTCATGAACAGAGGGCTACGACAGCTTTCATCGATTATTCAAGAAGCCAGTCTAACAATGAGAGTCTACTTAAAATGGTCACTAAGTGAGAGGGACACACAGTTAATAAGTAAAAATCTGGATGTTTTTCAAAATAAACTTGATTCTGATATTCAGTAAAATAAAAACATGTATTTTTCTGCTGCTGGTGTTAAATAGTTAAAAACTATTCATTATAATGTTAGCCATTATTTAGTTTTAAATAAATCAAGTGAGTAGGTTTGCATTCAGCTGCGGCGGCTGTCAACGTGTGCTGTTCACAGAGCTGATATCGATCCTCTCCACACTTGTTAGTGGTCAATGCTGCTAAACAAACTTCTACTGGTCTCCCACTGTGCGTGAGTTTACCGTCTCAGTGTCTTGTTTATGGATTTTCCAGTTCCGCACCGATGGTTGTAAGACATCAGAGCTCCGGTTTCTTGAGAGGCAGGATTTGGGCTCCACTCTAATGGTTCCAGTTTGCCCCAAATCCTTTGTCTAGGTGCAGCTGACGCGTGCTGCTTGAGCTCCGACCGTTTGATACGTTTGTTGTAGGACACAATTGAAGTATAACTGCAGTAAAATAAATGCTAATGTAGACCGTTAAATCTATACTGCAGTTATTAAAGCCACTATAAGCCCATTGACAGTGAAACTGCAGTATTGCCCTGGTCTATGCATCACATTTTGTCATCCTCCTTATTTTGCCAAAACGATTTGTTAATGAATATACAAATATATGTTTCACCGCCTCCATTGGCTCAGAGGTATGACCGGACCGTGGTGATTCTATAAACTAAATATAATTTCTAAATCCTGCAACTGCATGTATTCCAATCGTCTTTAATCCATTCAGTTTTCATTCGGTTTCAGCCAACACAGCTTTGTTGGTATGGTTTTAATATGTAAGAATTAATGGCCATTACAGCAGCGACCACTGAAGCGAGGACACTTAACCAGTGGAAAAATAACTAACTGCTAGATTAAGTCTAAAGTCATTAACTGAA